AATAAAGAAAGAGTAATACCAGATTGCCGAGATCATAGCAATATGCGGTACGCTCATATGTAACTGTCATACTCGCAGCATTTTCCCTTTCCGCCATGCTCCGGATGGGTACCCCGGGAGTAAAATGCCCATTGCTAGTGCATGTTTTGCTTCACGTTATGCTTTATCACATTTGGTGTTGAAGAATAAGGGTCATGGCTCAACAGCATGATACCAGTGTACACAGGCGCAGCAAATACGGTTGAAATACTGAAATATTGCCTGTTACCANNATTAGAAAAGTTCTTTAGCTTAACCAATCCCTCTTTTGATAATGCACAATCATATGTATGTTCTGTCCCTGCTGTTGATAAGAGTACCTTAATAGGGCAATATGATTGTATCCATGAGGATTATTGAATCCATACTGAGAAGAGTAAATTTTTAAATTAGAACCAAGAACTTGGAATAAAACTTAGAGATTCCTATAAAATTACCTAATTATCATATAATTTCTGGTCTATTTCAACAACTCCAAACGCACTAACCGCATTTGGTTTTATACAAATATATTTTGCTATTCCAGATATATAGTCAAAATAGTCATCTTGATTATTCACTAATTGAAGACTAGAAGTTGTGTTGGTGCTTCTGTGGCAATAACAGCAGAGGGATATAATCTATGAGGAATAGACTTACTGGATCCTTTCTATAATGGCGCGTATATTGATCGAACATGATCCATCGGTAGCATATTGCAACATACGATAGGCATAAGCACTGGTTGAAGTGTATGATGATTAGCGTCAACGGAACATTGTCTGATATGACTTTTCGGGGGGAGGGAAACGAACAGTCACACAAATAGATACGTACGCCTGGCAAACAACCGCTAAAAACCCACGGGCAACGGATACCCACGATACAGCGTCCGCGATGGCTGCAAATCGGCCTTCGAAGTGGAACTCTCGGATCGCCTGTCAGTTCAACCACCAGCCGAAGGACTCAATAAACACTGGAAACAAATCAAGGAAGCTATGCAGATATCAATAAAAACAACGTCAGAACCTGGTGCAGGTCCAAAACACAAACGATGAATCTCGTCGACCTCGGCTGCCCTGCTGGACACCCGCAGAACCCTTCCTCCCGATGCCACACATGACACAGCGCGCAAATCCCTCAAACGCCAACTCACCAAGAGTTTGAGGAATGGTCACGAGGAGTGTAGAGAGATGGAGAAGGCTGCGGTTATTGGTAATAGTCGCAATCTTTTCCGTTTAATTAGGAATACGGGTCCTAGCAAAATAACATCTAATTGAGGTAATAAAGGAATCAGATAGCAATGCCGTCTTGATCGATGGGCTGAACACTTCAAGGCTCAGTTCAACTGGCCTCTCATCTGAACTATCACTCTGCACCGCGACTGCGCAAATTCTGCCGGTCGATGCCAGTCCTCCATCTGAAATGGAGGTTTCCCGAGAANCCGAGAAATAAGTTTTCTCAAACGGCATAAGGCTTACGCCCCGACGGGCTGTCTCCATCGGATCTTAAGAATTGAGGTTTAGAGTTGTTTTTGGAGTTAACAAAACTCCTGGGCTCAGTGTGGGAGAGGGAAGAGGTTCCAGCTGAATGGTGTGAAGTGGTCATCATACCGATTTACAAGAAAGGCGACAGGTCCTCCTGTGAAAACCACAGAGGACTTAGTTCAATCGAAGTCATCTCTAAGCTTATCGTCGGCATCATACTCCGACGATTGTCTGCCACACGTGAATAGTGCAGGCGTGCGAACCAGGCTGGTTTTAGACCTGGTCGAGGTTGTATTGACCACATATTCACTCTACGCCAAATTCCGCAGCATCGACGTTCTTTTCGTAGACCCACTATCTCTGTCTTCCTTGGTCTGAAAGCGGCTTTCGACTCAGTCAACCGCTCTAAACAGTGGCGCTGTCTTTCCTTGAAAAGTGTGCCCGAGAAGTTTATTTTAATATTACGATCGCTTTATACTAATAGCCGGAGTCGAGTCCGGCTTCACGGTATTTTTCACCCGTGTTCACCACAGAAAGTGGTGTTCGTCAGCATTGCCCTCTCTCTCCTTTTCTATTTAACTTAACTATTTAGTTCTTGAAACAGCCTTATTCTCGTGCGCGGATAGTGGTATCGATTTACTCCTAGGTGGCATACTGTTTGTTCTAGAGTATGTAGACGACATTGTGCTACTAAGTGAAGATTCAGGTAAGTTGCAAGCTTAGAAAAACAGAACAAAGATAGACTGTCAATGTTCAAACACCGCTGTCTACGCACTATTGCACGAATCTGGTGGGGCAACCGGACGAACAATCCTGAGGTGAGGTGCAGAGTTTTGGGTATCCGCGGTAGCCCCCTTGAGCAATTGATCGACCTGCATAGATTACGTTGGTTGGGGCATGTGTTACGCATGTCACCAGATAGGTTGCCGCGGCGAGCGATGTTCGCCGAGGCAGGTAGTTGGTGGAAGAAAGTCAAGAGTGGTCAAGCTAAGACCTGGCACGAGGGTATGAAAACCCTAACCACGAGACTGGGTCACATAGGTCCCGTTAGGATCCCTGGCTGGAGACCTCGGGATGATCGTATCCGATGGTTAGAGATACTGATTGATATGGCTGAGTGTCGTACACAGTGGCGTTCTTGCATCTTCTCAATTTCTTTGCAAACTTGGACCACTGAACTTTTCCATTTTCTGTTCGACCCTACCTTTAACTTTACTGTCTTCTCCTATCCTTCATCTAAATGGGCAGCCAAAAGACTGCAACTAAAATCGGGGCACGATTGTGCATGGTTAATGGTTGTACAAACTGAAACTGAAACATGCACTGACGCCGATTCAGTGAGCTCAGGCCTACTTTATTCAAGAATAATCTGTAATTGTCGGCTGTTCTCTAGTTTGCGAGTCGGTGACGCATTCGATAGCATACTCATATACTCATATGGTTCTCCGATATGGATCTAGTAAGAAAATCACGACAATCAGACCCGTAGAGTTTATCTAAAAATAGCTATCTTAGTTCAACCAAAAATCTACATACTGCTCAAAGCTAAAGGAGGAACATACGAGACGTTTTTCGCTTAGTGTATTTCCATCTAGGTTGGGTTTGGACTATGAAGATTTTGATGGTAGAATCATCAAACCATGGTAATTGGATCCCTGATTGGTTCTTTGGCGCGATGCTGTCAGGTTGCCTAATTGATTTTCCCATGGAATCATAACTGAAGCCTTTGGTTTGAAAAATCAGGATTCACAAGTTCATTGAGTGGTTCGTATGAATGGTAGTTCATTGGGAGGCTGATCAGACGGATTTGTACGCCTCCATGGTCCCGAATACACTATCATTCAAGCTACCGTTTCGCTCCGAGTGCCTTGGATTCCATTTAATCGCCAATTTACAGGTGGTTTCGAATCAGAGTTTTTGGGAAAACTGTAGAACCCAGTTTGTGAGGAACTCAAATCAGTGGACTGGAGCGACTGACCATAATCGAGTCCACGCAATTTAGAAGGTTAACGGGTGAAATACAGGTCAATAATCGTTAGGCTTGTCACTACTTGTAAGGTCGATAGCGAGATCGACCACTCACTTGACATCCGATGCAAGTGAGCTGCGAGGCATGCTTTGAGTTCTCGTCACAGTTTTATCGCCTCATCCATGCCCCTAAATGGGTTAGCTACTTGAGGTTCGTCTACGTGGTTGTGATTGCATATGCGGACGTTTTACTCTCTACCGTCAGTGCAAACACCTTCATCACGCGAAGACAATGAGTTGAACTTCCACCACCCCGGGGAATTTTATTTCTTGGATGCTCGCACGTTCAAGGCCAGCTTTGTGTGTCTCTGACTTTCATGAAACTCTATCCCAATAGCTGTGCACTGATTTCCAGTGTAATATGCCAAACCACACGGCGCGGTCACGTGGATCGATTTTGACATTACACTGACCGGAATGCAGAATGTTTCATGGCATTAAACCTTTGTAGAGTAAATGTGCGACTTAGCCATGTTTAATGTCACTTTGCACAACCATCAATCCTGTCCATGCGTGCGACGGTTTAAGTTGCCATATTTCGTCTGACTGTTCGGTCCAACAATGATGCAGGAGTAAACGGAAGCAGAGGAAAGTGGAGAGCGTTATCAGGGTGCAGATGTGAAACGCAGCTACGCTAAGTTTGCAAAAGTGCCACTATTTGCGACACTCAGTCTCCAGACCTTGATTAGACTGATACAGAGTAGAATTTAACCTAACTATGCTGTATACCATCACCATGCCCATATTTAGCGGAGGTCGAATCACAGTCCCATAAGGAGTACTGCACCGATAATATGAAATACTCTAGATCATCTCTCACTGATAAATGGACGGTAGATTTGTTTTATTTGTTTATTTTGAATAAACTATAATTTATGCAGGCACAGTGAAAACCTAACCGAGTTTTGCATACTCGTGTCTCTTTATTGCTTCTCTCAGCCCTAAATCGATGTCCTTTCACGTGATTTCGATAATCATACAAGGTTACACACCCTTGTTTTGGTCAACCTGATTAATTAATTATTCTGTTCACTTGTTTTCCATTTACGCGTGTGACCGTCTTGCCCACGTAGTATTACCACGATGATTCCCTTTAGTTACATGCTCGTGCTTTCCTCCCATCCCTATCGATCTGCGTTCGCTTCATTCTCCCAGCTTCTCATTGAATCAAGTCACACGCTAAACAGTTCCCGGTATCTATAAATTTGAGTCGTTGTGGTAAGGTTTCCACCGTCTCCGATTCCATCTCCCTCTCGATTGAATAGAAAAACTACCAGTTGCGCTAGCGTTACTAAAACACAATGAGGACCTTAGTATGTCTGGTCCGTCCGGTTTTTTTCTTGTTTACTCCTCTGAAGTTTTGCTTCTTTGTATTTAGACTTTTCATCATACTCGTCACAGAACCAGCTCAATGGTTGTCGAAACACTATTATCTTTATTCTATTCTCCACAAACTCTTTTGATCGTTTCCCTCTTCCTCCTTCTCCTCCTCCTCCTCACAGAACATCTTGACCTGTGCAGTGCAATCGCGGAAACTTTTCAAGATTTCCTTTTCTATCAACAGTAAGTGTACCCATATCACATATATATATATATATATATATATTTATATATATATATATATTTGTTTTCTCAATATGCTTACGTTAACCCGTTCTCTGCCCACTTCAGGCTGTGGTGGCCCGGTGGTAACGTCACCAAATTATCACCTCAGGGATGTGAGTTCGAATTCCACCACCACTGCCTGACTTCCCCCATTGCGTGTGTTGAATGGCAGCCCTTTGATCGGCCGCTTCCCCTTTCCTGAGAGTTGTATCTTTGTATATTCAGTAAAAGAAAGCAAAAAAGAAAAGAAAAGAAAAGTTGAAGCCAGAATAACCCCCCACGCACTCAGTTGCTTTATGTTGACTGCGTATCTGGTCAAGTCGTGAAGAACTTAATCAACACGGACACTAAATTTAGAAACTGTTATGGCCTCGAATTTATCAAATCTTGAAAAGTGATTTGTACAAGAGGTGTGACCAGATTCACACGTATCAGTACTTATGGCTCTCACCTATTCGATCACGTTCTTGGTCCCCACGCTCAAGATATCGAAATCGGTGAGGCTCAAGCACTTAAGTGACATCACACAACTGCGGGTTCATTCTATTCCCTACCCGACGATGGATTTTCATCATTTCTTGACCGAATTCCTGATATCCGTTTGCGTGGGTGGACTGTTTTGTATGGCATAGCAATGTTAGCCCATGACACGACAGAAAGATTATGCTAATCGATAACTGACTGATTGGAGTCAGCGAAAACATCGAACTCTGCACTCGACCAGTAAGATTTTCCTAATAGTCCTCCTACCCGCACAATGGATTTGAAGTCTTAGCAGATTTAATCTACAATTTGATGCAGTAATACACTGGTGCCCTAAAGAAAGAAACAAGTCGGAAAGTGTGCGCGTTTAAACCGTAATTTTCATCCTCTTTACTTTTCACGTTTCAGGTTCACAGAGCTAGTTGACAAGTAAGTGGTGGAATCAGTGTGTGCATCTTCTGTTCATTAGTTTAGCGAGCGCGTTTGATGTATGCGTGAAATGTTGAATAGCTTCGCCGACGTAACCTTTAAAATTCGGCTATACACACGGATTAGAACTTTTACCCAGGAGGTGCACGTTCAAGTGTTCTCAGCGGTTACAGCTCAGGAGAACACATACATACAACCGAATAGATCTATGTGCCTTACGTAATCGGATACAGTCAGTATTGAATTTATTGTTATTTGGCCACACCCGTTCCGCGATATCCGGATTACTTTCTGGTCCGCCCTCAAAGCACCATGCAGGTAATTTTGATACACGCACACTTCCCCGGTCCGTTTAAGATTACGATTTCATTCACCGAGTCAGTCGATATAATTAATAGTGCGGACAGGAAGATTTTCATATTTGCAAATATTTAGCTGATAAGCTATGCTTGAAACTAGGCACGTCGTGGGAAATCCATCGTAACGGACTGCTTCAACAATGATCATCGGATATCTGATTGGAACTTGTTCTTAATTTGCATATTTTTACAGTTACTAATAAATGTTTGATACACAGCTAACAGACGTCAGACGATGCGGCCTTTCTGCTCATGATTTTTTTAAGACTCACAGTGTTCTTCGGCTGTCCTATTCAGCGTACGAGCTCCTCAGGGTTTGTATACTCTCACAGCTATTTTGAGCTTGTTTCGAGGGCATTTTATTAATGATACTTAAAATCCATTGTACGGAAACGTCTCAATAGCTCAACCAAATCCGGACGCGTTTGGTCACTTTTCACGACAAGGCATCACTTCACTATTTCGACATGTCACATCCTGAATGATTGGGAATCCTCATTCCGATTCCAATTTAACTGAATCACATGATTTCCTTTATTCAGTCTTCGGTTTTCTCTAATCTTTCATCTTATCGCGTGCACTCGACCCTTTTCGGTTTCAGAGGTTTTATTTATCCTATCGGTTGTTTTTCTCCTTCTTTCTCCCCATTGTCCCATTCCCAGTCAACCGCCCTCATCACTCTCAATAGATGAGTTTCAACAACACGAGGAATTAGATTGTAAAGTGAGTCCGGTTAAGCGATACGAGTCCGTTGATTTGGTATCTCAGCTAGCCAGTACGCTTGTCTTTTTTTACATATCATTCGCTGGTCTCACTGATCTTCTCGTACTCGATCTCTCATGTGTGCCTGACTTATTCGCTTTACTCATTTTATGTATGATTCGCATACCTGTCTACGGTCAGATTGTGTATTGGCGAAATACGGCCGGGTTTCTCACACTGATTTTGAGTTCTGTTAAGTGTTATTTTGAACTTTCTCTCTCGGTAAATAAAATAATAAATAAATAATAATAAATAAATTTCATGCTACGTCTTACGTTTGATGCTTTTATTTTTTCAGTTCGTCCGCGTCATAAGCGACCTGTTCTTATCCAGTTCGACCGAGCTGCCCGACGGATTTGTCGGTCGTTTGGTTGACCTGCTCAGTTGGGGCTCAGTTCAGGCCTCTGTGTCGACATTCCTAGGCCCCGATGGCCTTCCTGCCGAATCAGACAGTCTTGTTTCCCTCGGACAGAGTCCCTGTCAAACACCCACCCAGTGGGCCCATTCATCACGACGAACTGATGCGAACTCCGGCTCGTCAACCAAACGATCTCCGATGAAGGGTCTGGGAATGGCTGTTCGGCAAACCACAGAATCTCTCGCTCCACCAGATCCACTGACCGACGGAGCGCTCAGTCTAGATCTGGATTTAGACCGACTACGGCAATTTGCATTCCGCGAAAATTTTGCCCGACTCTGTTTCAGCACCCTATTATGTCACGCATTCTCAAGTAATACAGGCCCGGGATCGGAGAGTGGCTCAGCGAATCCCGATCCGACCAAAGTTTCGGTGGTCGTGAGTCGTTGTGCTGTGCGAAGCATTCTGCAACGTTGTCGTCTCACTTTGATTCAGTTTTATCAGGCAGCCTGCCTGACAGGAAAATGCCCCCTTCCCAGGTAAGTACTTTGGTATGCATAGCACCTACTTTTTTTTTCTCTCTCTCTCTGTTTGTTCATTTTTCCCACTACATTGCAATAGATCACTGGTTGAAAAACAACGAATAAATGTTGAAAAATTAATTCTGGTTGGCGGTAGTTAGTGTCTTTAGGTCACTCGTACATTACCTCCGTAGATTATGTGTTCTAATTGCATTGTTATTCATCCTCTTTTCTTGACATGCTCCGACGACGTTTCTTTGATGATTAACTGTAGATATCGGTAGTCAAACGAATCCGAAACCGATCACAAATTATATTGCACTTCAGACCATGCCGGTG